ACATCTGGGAGAAAATGTAAAAACACGATGATGAAAACATCTTTTGAAAGCCAAGGAACTTATAATATTATTTTCAATTTTTAAACAATAATTAAAAAAAAGTTAATTGCTGCTGATTAATTACTAGTACAACATTGCACACAAAAGAACAAAAGAGAAGAAACTAAATACTACCCACTGGGTAGTGCTGGATGATTCCAGACTACATGCAGGTTCATAGTCATAATCAGTTCAATAATATAATTGGCAGTACTTTAAAAGTTAATAACATTTTATAATTTGAAAAATGAACAGGCAGTCAGTCTAGTGTCTTGTTAAAATCATTGGAGTTTTGAAAACCCTGTAACCCTTTCTAAGCTAGTGATCACAGAGTTGCGATGCTACCAAGGCACCCACCAAGAAAATTGTATGACATCATTAGCTACTGCTATGCATTTGCAACACTGTGGAGGGCTTTGAGACTTAGTTTCTCCTCATGTCTGTTTAAGTCAGCTGTCTAGTTGTCTGTGTTCAGTTGAGCTAACTTTACTTTATTAAATGCTAATGTTACTTGTGTGAGATTTGTTTCTGTGTCTTGTGCAATTTTTTATTTAGCCTTTAAGTATCCTTGGCTCTAAACTGCCAACTAGACTAAGAGCAAATCTAAGTCATTATTTGCTGGTACTGTTAAATGGTTGTTAAAAAATGCTGCAACTGTGCATGTCAAACTCTTACATACTGTGGCCAGCAGCAGTGCCAGAGAATATGAGCTATGGGGGGATAGACTGTTTATAGAAGGTGCTAATTCATTTTGATGCAACAAACAATAACAAATAATGTTACCACAGAAACAATTTTTTTGCATTATACAAAAGCAAGCACAAATAACTCTGTGAATTTAGAATGAAGAACTCAAATGTCTATAAAAAGTTTACAACAACAGGCACAACCACACAATCACTCTGGAACTAACTAAAGTTAACAGCAACATCAAATGGCAGAGTAGGCACAGTGATTGACACTGGCCCTTCAACCTTCTGTCCCTCAGCCTGGAGCTTACCTTGATTTATAAGCTCCAATTTATAACACTACAACTCTTTACAAACCGTTAATTTTAATTGTTTACAAACCGAAACATGAACTAGTTTAGCTTCCCGATTGTGGGATCTTGTCTTAATTTTTCTACCTCTCAAACACTTTTGTGTTTCTGTTCCAGCTGTAGTAGGACAAGCTGCTTTTGTTGCTCACATGTTAACCCAGGCCTAAGACCAGACAGAACAGAAGCTATATTACTCACTTTACCGAGCCCACTTATTCTGGGGGAGCTACATCAAACACGCTAATCGTTTCTAGAGGCGCACTTGCACTCCCCACTAGAAGAGACAAAACTTTTTTTATAAACCAACTAGGCTTTTAATGTATCCAACAGTTACATCTTTATTTAACTTAGCAATAACACCGTAATGGTCAGCTACTTTCCAAAGCTGATTAGAATTGAGCAAATTCTCACTTGGAGAAGTCTTCAATGGAAGCCATTTTACAATTACACACTCTAGGGGTACAACACCACAGATAGGCCTAAACTGCAAACAAAGACAAAGTTTTCCAC